GTGGGGGATGGAGTGGTAGGCAGAGTAGAGGTGGTCGGGCATTTAGCAGGGGGTGGGGGTAGGCTTTCCTGAAGAGGTGTTTTCAGGGTGCGCCTAAAGGAGAGGAGAGTAGGTGATAGTCTGATGGGTTGGGGTAGGGAGTTCCAGAGGATGGTGATATCCTGGAGGCGGGCATGGGAGGAGGAGACCAGGGAACTAGAGAGGAGGTCTTGAGAGGAGCGGAGTGTGCGTGTTGGGTGGTACTTGGATATTAGGTCAGTGATGTAGTTCGGGGCAGTATGGTGGACAGCTTTGTACGTCAGTGTTAGGATTTTGAATTTGATCCGTTGCGCAATCGGAAGCCAGTGGAGGGATTGGCAGAGGGGGGTGGCGGGAGATGGAGCGGTTGGTAAGGTGAATGAGTCTGGCAGCCGTATTCAGGATGGACTGAAGCGGGGATAGCCTGTGGTGAGGCAGGCCAGTGAGGAGGGAGTTGCAGTAGTCGAGTCGTGATATGATGAGGGAGTGGATGAGCTGTTTAGTGGTTTCTGGGGTTTGGAACGTGCGGATTTTGGCGATGTTGCGGAGGTGGAGTCTGCACAAGTTAGTGATTGGATTTGGGGCTGGAAGGATAAGTTGGGGTCCAGAATGACACCAAGTACTCTGGCGTGCGGGGCGGGCCTGATAGTGGCGTTGTTGGATGTGATGGAGAAGTCACTGGGGGGTGGTGTGTGGGCTGGGGGGAAGACTAGGAGCTCGGTTTTTGAGAGGTTCAGTTTAAGGAAGTGGAGCGACATCCAGTCTATGTCCCAGTCTGTATGGGATGAATGGATACTTGAGCGCAGCGTGCTGAGGATGCAGGGTCAGACGAGCCGGGTTCGGTATCGGTCAGGCAGATCACGCTTACAGCGGCAGGAGGAAGAGTAGTCAGGTCACAGGCCAGGTCAGCAACGGAAGATCAATCAGACAGGAGCAGAGGCAGAAGTATAATCCAAGACAAGCTAGAGGTCAGGGCAGGTAGCAATCAAGCGGAGATCAGGAACAGGCTGGTTCGGTATCAGGAGTCAATCACAGGAATCGGGAAACACGAGCAGGGAAAAGACCATACGGAAATGGGACAACTACTGCAGCCATTTTAAATGGCCCTATTGGCACCAACATTAGTGACAGGTGCACGCCCGGCATTTGTGAGTGCGCATGCGCCGATGTCCAAGTACCTGCACACCTGTTTGACTGGTAAGGACTCTGCGCATGCGCCTATTTGTGCGCCGCGGAACTTCCACTGCACTATGGGCAGGCCTTCCCTGACACTCTGAATTGGACAAAATATACCCTTGCAGTGCTTCCCTCCCCTGCAAGGGTTAAAGGGCTCATTCAGTCTAGGGGTGCAGAGGTAAGGTGTATTTTCATGTCCTATTGTTCTGCCAATTCTCCGGAAATGTTCTCTTATTGTCGTAGACTGTGGACGATCCCTCAGCCTCATCAGATACAGTGTGGGACTATTTACTCTGCATTGTATGACAGGAGGTGAGCAGGAAACTGCAGCCTAGAAAGGGGGTATGGCTGGACTGGTCGCATGGGTGGAGAAAGTCTACTGGGGCCAGCAGGTTTGCTTTTGATCAAAGGTTGGGATCGCCCCCCGCATGCCATGCGTTGTGTTTAAAGCATAAATAACATTTAAGCAGAAGAGATGTACACATTCTTTTCTGCCAAAACAGCAGCTGCTTGTCTCTAGCGGGTTTTTTTATATTTTTGTGGCCATTGTACAGAGCAATATGCAGTGCACTTGTGGATTCTTCCCAACATCTTACAGAAGGTCCTGGGTGCCGGGGATGGTGTAACTCCTGTGCATGTGTCCAGGAGTTACATCTGCAGAGTCAGCCCAATGACAATTGAGGACAATGGGGGAGGCAGAAGAAGCAGCATAGGAGGTGACTTTGAGAGACGGAGCAGTGACTTTCAGCTTAGATCAGGGCTGTCAAACTCAATTTCATTGGGGGCCACATCAGCAGTATGGTTGCCTTCAAAGGGCCAGTTGTATCTGTTAGACTATGTATCCACCCTTTTATTATTCAGAAATACGCTCTGTACAGAAGTCAGATTTCCGGGGTGAGCTGTATACAGAGCGCAGAGTTCCGGGGTGAGCTGTATACAGAGCGCAGAGTTCCGGGGTGAGCTGTATACAGAGCGCAGAGTTCCGGGGTGAGCTGTATACAGAGCGCAGAGTTCCGGGGTGAGCTGTATACAGAGCGCAGAGTTCCGGGGTGAGCTGTATACAGAGCGCAGAGTTCCGGGGGTGTGAGCTGTATACAGAGCGCAGAGTTCAGGGGTGAGCTGTATACAGAGCGCAGAGTTCCGGGGTGAGCTGTATACAGAGCGCAGAGTTCCGGGGTGAGCTGTATACAGAGCGCAGATTTCCGGGGTGAGCTGTATACAGAGCGCAGAGTTCCGGAGCTGTATACAGAGCGCAGAGTTCCGGGGTGAGCTGTATACAGAGCGCAGAGTTCCGGGGTGAGCTGTATACAGAGCGCAGAGTTCCGGGGGGGGGGCAGAGTTGGGGGGGGGCGAGCTGCAGTTAGGGGGGAGGGGGGGGGGGGGGGCAGAGTTGAGGGGTGAGCTATGCCCAGTGTGCAACACTTAATACCCCCCCAAAGCTTCCTTGCATCTCTACTTTCTCCTACCTCTCCCTATGTAGGTGGCTCTAGTACCTCCCGGTGTCGGTGGCTCTAGTACCTCCCGGTGTCGGTGGCTCTAGTACCCTCCGGTGTCGGAGGCTGCCTCTACTACCTGTGCATCTGTTATACCTCTACCTGTGCAGGCAGCGCTGAAAGCAGAGCTGTCCCTTGTAAACACAGAAGGCTTCTGTGTTTACAAGTGACAGCGGGGAATGGAGGGAGAGAGCCGGAGGTGACGGAATGGAGCTGGGTGAGAGGGCCACATGACCAGGCCTGGAAGGCCGGATTCGGCCTGCCGGCCTTGTGTTTGACATGTGGCTTCGACGCTTGAGGAGAGCACACGTGTAAGGTAGGTGTGCCATAATGTATAGGTATGTGTTTACAAATGATGTGCTCACCTTCCACTTTCAACTGCTACTTTAGGGCAGCGCATTCATTTTTTTATGGACTGGCAACACACGCCAATGCAAAGAAAAGCACTGCTGCAGTATTTTTTTGGAATGCTAATGCTAATGCATGCATTGTGTGGCTCTGAAGTTTGTGGTAACAAACGCACCAACTGCAACTAAGGGCTCCTTCACACTAGCAGGTGAGGGGCAGTTAAACCCCATGATGGGCCATATTTTTACTGCCTCCCAGCCTTTTTCCCCATAGCTACAGAGGCAGTGGTTGGGGTGTATACATGCCGCTGCCGCAATGGTTTGTATTGTGGCCATAGCAGGATGATAGACTTTCCGTGAGTATAACGCCCACTGAGCGTGACTAACTCAAGTGAACAGGGGCCACTAAGCAAGCGCCCCTCAACAGTGTACTAGTGCGGGATCAAATGTTGAGGAAGCGATACAGTGTCTCGCCTGTCAGATGCGCTGTGAAGAGTGATCTCAACATGGATTGCTCTTCAGAAACCAAAGCATGTATAAATGTATGTATAATATGCCCATTCCTAACCCCAGAAACTACTAAGCAACTCATCCACTCCCTCATCATATCACGACTCTACTACTGCAACTCCCTCCTCACTGGCCTCCCTCACCACAGGCTATCCCCGCTTCAGTCAATCCTGAATACGGCTGCCAGACTCATCCACCTTTCCAACATCTCCATTTCCACCACCCCCCTCTGCCAATCCCTCCACTGGCTTCTGATTGCACAACGGATCAAATTCAAAATCCTAACACTGACGTACAAAGCCCTCCACCATACTGCCCCGTACTACATCACTGACCTAATATCCAAGTACCGCCCAACCCGCACACTCCGCTCCTCACAAGACCTCCTTCTTTCTAGTTCCCTGGTCTCCTCCTCCCATGCCCACCTCCAGGACTTCTCCAGGGCTTCACCCCTACTCTGGAACTCCCTTCCCCAATCCATCAGATTATCGCCTACTCTCCTCTCCTTTAGGCGCACCCTGAAAACCCATCTCTTCAGGGAAGCCTACCCCACTCCCTGCTAATTGCTGATCTCCTCTGCTCTCCCCACCACTCCATCCCCCACAGTTATTTCCTCCCGTACCACTAACCCCTCCCTCCTAGATTGTAAGCTCCAAGGAGCAGGGCCCTCGAACCCCTCATGTATTGTATTGTTACTGTACTGTCTCGTGTATTGTCTCCCATTGTAATGTACGGCGCTGAGCAAACTGTTGGCGCTATATAACTACTGTATAATAATGAACGAGCCCTGAAAGATCTAATTCCGGTCCTAGGGAAAGCAAAGGTGATTGTACTATACATGCTCCAATATCCATATTTTCAACACTGCTTCTAAAAAGGACCCAAATAAATAAATAAAATATTGTCTATACTTTAAAAAAAAAAAAAAAAATATATATATATATATATATATATTATTTTAAAGCTGCTGGGATAAGAAAATGTTTTGTATAAGAGTCATGTGTATTCTTCCTTGAATCTTGGTGTGCTTTGTGTATTTCTTCTAAATCTGTGCAGTAATCCAGAGTGAGACTACTTCTGTACAATAGCTTCCTGTAATAAAAGACCAGTCACTGCTGCTGTCTCTCTATGTGCAAAGTAACTGGTCTTGTCTCCGCCCCCTCCTGTGGTTTTCTGCAGGCAGCATTTAGTGGGTGAAGCCTGCTAGGCCCCTCCCCACAGCTCTGTTCTCTGAGCAGGCTATGTAAAGTACAGTGATGATGTCACCGCTACTTTTGTATAAGGTATAATAAGTTTTTGTTCCTTGAGTTCAGTTCTAAAGATACTCCAAGCTTTGTCTGCTCCCCACTTTATAGATGTTTTCTCTCACTTCCTGCTATGTTTTTTGGGACATAAAGTGAAGGGAAAACTCCCTATGGGGACACCACAAACAGCGCAGGTTTTATCTTTTCCTTATCCTAAACCAGGGCTTAAAATTTCTGCTCGCCAATGGCGAGTGGAAATCATGGTGGGGGCAAGTGTGTCCCCCAGGGCCATTTTGCTGAGCAGGCTCGGAGCTCAGGCCGGATCTGTCATTGGCACTGGGAGCCATCAGACTGCTCAATAGCTGAGCGCAGAGTGAAAGCAAAGGAAGGATTGTGTATTGTGCTCTCTGCCTCCTCCTAGAGTGCAGTACCCGGATCTGTGAGTGAACAACGAAGTACTGCAACTTTTTATGGGGGGGGGGGGTGTGTGTGTGTGTATGTACAATTGTACATGTGTCTGTGTGTATGTACGTGTGTGTTTGTGTGTATCTGTACATGTCTGTGTGTATGTACATGTACGTGTGTTTGTGTGTATGTATGTGTGTCTGTGGATGTATGTACATGTCTGTGTGTATGCGTGTCTGGTGTGTGTGTCTGTATGTACATGTCTGTGTATGTGTACAGGTCTCTGTTTGTGTGTGTTTGGTGGCGAGTAACTCTAAGGCCTGGCTAGTAGCTCAGGACTTGAAATTTTAAGCCCTGACCTAAACTTAAGTTTTTTTTTTTTTTTTTTTTTTTTTTTCATTTCATTTTTTAAATAACTTTCTGGGTGAGTTTTCTGACTTTCCTAGTTTTTTCTTTCCTTCACTGCCCTCATTCTGTGTCCTAAAAATATACTTTAAATGTGGAATTTCATTTTCTAATTGTTTATCTGAATCACTGGGCTGAAAGTAATCGGAGCATGCCATGAACTTTACATTTCTTTTTTCAAATTAAATTTTTCATGAAAGCCGCTTCCACATGACGGCACGTTAAATAAATCAATGGTTTGCGTTCATGCAGTAGCGCAGGGCATTAAAGCAGCAGCATTTTCTTGCAATGCAATAATTCCCTGACTCTTTCACAATTCATAATGCAATGTTTTGTGAGCTGGCAGATAAAAATAATCCCCATTTCATCCAGTTTTGTATTCCTAGTCATCAGCTGTACTTTTAACACAGCTAATATAAGTACCAGGATTAATATTCACCTCCTGTAATCCCCCCGCCATCATTAATGTCAAGGGTCATAAATCTTAGATTGTAAGCGCCATGGAGCAGGGCCCTCCTATCCCTCTTGTATTGTTGCTGTATTGTCTCCTGTTGTATTGTGAAGTGCTGAGCAAACTGTTGGCGCCATATAAATCCTGTATAATAATAATAATGATTTATATACTGCACCGCCCTTACAGTTGTGCTCAAAAGTTTGCATCCCCTGGCAGAAATCATGACATTTTGGCATTGATATTGAGAATAGGACTGATCGTGCCAAAAACTGTCTTTTATTTAGGATAGTGATCACATGAAGCCATTTATTATCACCTGGTTGTTTGGCTCCTTTTTAAATCCTAATGATAACAGAAATCACCCAAATGGCCCGGATCAAAGTTTCCATCCCCTGGAACGTTAACCCCTGTGTGTCACCTTGTGTGTCCATACCAAGGCCAAAGTGGCAATTAAAGGTTAATTTCCCACATCTGTGGCTTTTTAAATTGCTATTAGTGTCTTGTTTTATAAATAGTTAATGCTCTCACATGGATTTACTGAGCAGGCTAGATACTGAGCCATGGGGATCAGAAAAGAACTGTCAAAAGACCTGCGTAACAAGGTAGTGGAACTTTATAAAGATGGAAAAGGATATTTATTTCAGGTACTTATATAGCGCAGTCAATTTGCGCAGCGCTTTACACATATGTATTGAACATTCACATCCGTCCCTAACCCTCAAGGGGTGTACAATCTAAGGTCCCTAATTTACATTCATACATACACATATTAGGGCCAATTTAGACAGGATCCAATTAACCTACCAACATGTCTTTGGAGTGTGGGAGGAAACCCCACGCAAGCACAGGGAGAACATGCAAACTCCATGCAGGAGGCACCATGGTCGGGAATCGAACCCATGACCCATTTACTGCAAGGCAGACATGCTAACCACTAAGCCACTGTGCCGCCCATATAAACAGATGTCCAAAGCCTTGAATATGTCGGTCAGTACTGTTCGAAAACCCCATTTAAGAAGTGGAAAATAAGGGGATCACTTGATACCAAGCCAAGGTCAGGTAGACAAAGAAAGTTTGCAGCCACAACTGACAGAAGAATTGTCTGGGATACAAAGAAAAACCTACAGGTAACCTCATGAGAAATACAGGCTGCTCTGGAAAATGGTGGTGGTGTTATTAAAGGAGGACAATATGATACTTGAACAAAAATGAGCTGCATGGTCAAGTTGCCAGAAAGAAGCCTTTACTGCGCCAATGTCACAAAGCCATGTTACAATGCGCCCGACAACACCTTGACACACCTCACAGCTTCCGGCACACTGTAATCTGGAGCGCTGAGACCTAAACATAGCTTTATGGTTGCAACCATAATCACTGTGTTTGGAGAGGTTTTCCAGAATACCAGCCTCACTGTGAAATATGGTGGTGGTTCACTGAAGTTTTTTTTTTTTTTTTTGGAGGGTGAGCTCTAAAAGCACGGCAAGGTGAATGCAGCATGTTATCAGAAAATACTGGCAGACTATTTTCATTCTTCTGAACCAAAGCTGTGCATGGGATGGTCTTGGACTTTCCAGCACGGCAATGACCCTAAGCACAAGGCCAAGTTGACCCTCCAGTGGTTACAGCAGAAAAAGGTGAAGGTTCTGGAGTGGCCATCACAGTCTCCTGACCTTTAATATCATCGAGCCACTCTGGGGAGATCTCAAATGTGCGGTTCATGCAAGACGATCAAAGACTTTGCATGACCTAGAGGCATTTTGACAAGATGAATGGACAGCTATACCACCTGCAAGAACTGGGGGCCTCATAGACAACTATTACAAAAGACTGCACACTGTCCTTGATGCTAAAGGGGGCAATACACAGTATTACCAACTAAGAGGACGCAGACTATTGAACGGGGCATTTCATTTGTTTACTTGTTACCATGTTTTATGATTGTGCCATTCTGTTATGGCCTACAGTTGACGATGCATCCCATAAGAAATAAAATAAATTGATGCTTTGTCTGCTCACTCATGTCTTCTTTAAAAATGGTACATATTGTACAGTATATTACTAGTTCTCCAAGGGGATGCAAACTTTTGAGCACAACGTTCTGTAATCACTGTAGACCACAAAATGCAGCAATGCAAATATTCCTTTCTGCTTTTATACTTCATAAGTCAGTGTTCTGTGAGCTGGCATATAGAAAGGATTGTTTTTTAATCCAGTTGTGTATTCCTTGTAATCATCTATATTTTTATTACCTCTGAGGATGGAAAAAGATTTGGGGGTCCTAGTAGATGACAAACCCCTCAATACCATGCAATGCCAAGCTGCAGCAAGCAAGGCCAATGGACTGTTAGCTTAGCTTGCATTAAAAAGGATATTTACTCAAGAGATTATTATTATTATACAGGATTTATATGGCGCCAACAGTTTGCTCAGCGCTTTACAATATAAAGGGAGACAGTACAGCAACAATACAGTTCAATACAAGAGGGATAGGAGGGCCCTGATCCTGGGAGCTTACAATCTAGGAGATGCATCTATAATTCTACCACTTTACAAAACTTTGGCCTCATTTTGAATGCCATCCAGTTCTGCTACTAGTCCTCAAGAACTCTGCACATGCTCCGTTTGGTGTGTATTGCTAGGTTTTTTTTTTAGTTTTTTTTTTTTTTTTTACTTTGGAAGGGTGCATGTGATTAGCACAGGACCAATCGGACCTGTCCAGACAGAGGGTCGGGTTATGCAGCCTCATAGGACAGTCAGAGCAGAATGAAACTGCTCCTACAAGATTAACCAGCGCTCGGCCAGGCATTGATAGAAGTCACAAGACTGCTATAAACTACTAATGCGAAGAGGTATTTAGCATTTTATATATAATGTAGTAATTGCATTTCCATGTTCTGTGTACCATGGGAGACCAGATATTTATAATGAATGCAGGGTCCTGGGTTTTGGAATACTTTAAGCATCACAAAGCGATTTCCCATCCTCTGCCCAGTTGTTTGCATTCCCCTCTGTAGGTCATGGAGACTGCAGAGATAACGACTTCATCTTAGGAACTCTGATGCTGGCCTCAGTACCGAGGATGGGTGTCAATGCCCATCTGAATGAGCCCTTACAGAGATGAGCTCAGGCATGTTTAGAAACACTTAGGTAATCGCTCCATGTGCCAATATTTGTATTTACATCAATAAATCTACCTCCAGGATCCTTACACAGATGAATGTTATCGGATAAGGATTTACTAGAGTATGGTGACCCATTTCATGTAACTAGAGTACGTGGCGTGGAAAGCTTGCTGAACCCTAGCCCTCTGAAGAGACGATATCTTATTGCCTAGTAGATGGGTTTCCTGCAGAAAAAGGACATGCAGTTTATGAGAATGGAGGAACTTAAACATTAAGGGCCATTTGATTTTATCTAGACCTCTAACACTCCATGAGGCTACTTTAAGTTCCATAGTAAGCTAGAATGTGGCAGGAACTATAGGACGACTAAAGGAGGGAAAATCAGTCCTCGACCAGGGTATCAAGTCCATGAGAGGAGTCTCCATGTCCCTCTATCAAAAACAAGTACAGTTGCAAGAAAAAGTATGTGAACCCCTTGGGATTACGTGGAGTTTTGCATGAATTGGGCATAAAATGTGCTCTGAACGTCATCTAAGTCACAACAATAGAAGAACAGTCTGCTGAACATAATACTACACAAACATTAGATGTTGCCATGGTTTAATTGCACATAACATGTAAACATTCACAGTGCAGGGAGGAAAAGGTATGTGAACCTTTGGACTTAATAACTGGTTGACCCTCCTTTTGGCAGCAATAACCTCAACCAAACGTTTCCTGTAGTTGCAGATCAGACCTGCACAATGATCTGGAGTCATTTTGGACCACTCCTCTTCACAAAACTGTTTCAGTGTAGGTCTTTAGCTGACACTCTGGGATTCTTCTTTACCTCATGCAGCATTCTGCACTGTGCTCTTGCAGTCATTTTTACAGGATGACCACGCCTAGGGAGAGTAGCAACAGTGCTAAACTTTCTCCATTTGTAGACAGTCTGTCTTACTGTGGATACATGAACATCAAGGCTTTTGGAGATACTTTTGTAACCCTTTCCAGCTTCATGCAAGTCAACAATTCTTGATGGTAGGTCTTCTGAGAGCTCTTTTCTGCGAGGCATGGTTCACATCAGACAGTGCTTCTTAAAACCAGTAAACCCAAAACAGGTGTGTGCTTTTTAAGGGCAGGACAGCTGTCAGCAACACATCCAATATCATCACACTGATTGGAGTCAAGGTTGGCTCACTCCTGGCTCCATTTAGCTCTGGGAGAAGTCATTAAGCTAGGGCCTCACATGCTTTTTCCTCCCTGCAT